CCCTGCCGGCTCCTCCGGTGAGCAGCGCCGGCGGCCGGTGCCGCCCCCTCGGCCCCCTCCCGGCTCCCTTGCTGGGGACGGCCCGGTGGGGACCCTGCGCGGAGGGAGCCCGGCTGAGGCGGACGGGCCGTGCCCGGCGGTAAGTGGGCTCTGTCCCCCCTCAGCCGGCGGCGCCCGGAGTCCTCCGCGGGGCCGGGGGCTTCCTTCCTCCCCCTGTCTCTCCCCCGGTGCCGGCTTCGGAGCCGCTTTCACCATGTTCCCGCTCTGCCTCCCGTCTCCACCGGAGTCCTGAGGCTGAAGCACCGGAGCTGCGAAGCCCATCTGGCCGGGGAGCCCGCGGGGCCGCCTCTCGCCGCCGGTGGAGGAGTGCCGGGGTCTGGAGCTGGGCCCTGGGGTCCCGGCCCGCAGGTCAGTCCGGCGGCTGCGGTGCGGGTCTGTCAGAGGTGCTCGGGTGGTGGCTGACGCTTGGTCACACACACCCACCCAGAACGTTTTTAATGGTGTTTGCCCCTCGGTTCGTGTGTGCCAGCTGCCCCGCTGCTCCAGCCAGGGGAACAGGCAGCTCCCGGACCACCCCCTCAGCCGGCAGCTGCCGGGCCCCACAGCGGTGGGGAGCGCGGTCGTTTCAGGAGTGCGCCCTTCGGAACTACTCGCTCTATGCCTGGTGGTGTGTCAGTCCAAACATTGGGGTCTGGGTTGGACCCAGCTGGTCCTGGGTTCACACCTCAGCTTGTTGATGTCGTTCAGCAAACGCTGGGTGACTTCGTCATGTTTACCCATAAGTTCCTTCCAGCCTTTTCCCCTCAAACAGCTTCCCTCGGGATCTGCTGGCCTTAACACCTGCTCCTCTGGGCTGTGAGCTGGGGGTCCTGGGGCGACACAGCACAGCAGGGGCTGGTTGGGCCTGGCCTGTGTCTTTTTAGGGGCCGGTCAGGAACGAAGGTGTGAATGAGAGGGTGGAAATGTGCGGGGATTGCTCCTGCTTTGGCTGGTCAGTCACCAGCTGCAAAACGACCAAAATCGACATGATCATCTGCTCGGTGTATGGGGAAAAAGCTCAACTCTGACCCTCTCTACAGGTGACTGTTGCAAGGCATTAGTGGGTTTCAGACTTTTCTATGTCCTTTACCTGCTTGTGCAAGAAACATAGATGGCACAGGCTAGATCTCACTTGGCTTTGGGGCAGTGGTGTGTCTGGTCTGCAGTAATAATCCTTGAAGGCGCCCGAGGGACGGGGAGCGGGGCTGTGCGATGCCACGCCGGCGTGCCTGGCATTGCGGGCTTCCCCTGCGCCCCGTCCCTCCGGGTGTTCGCACCAAGCTCATCGCTCAGGCACGCGAGGGCTCCGGGATCAGTGACAGCCACAGCCCTGGCAGTTAGCTGTCTGCTGGGGAGCCGTAATTAGCTGCAGAGCTAACGCATTTGGTACGTATGCTTGAAGTGAGGGCTTGGAAATGCAGTCTTAGGTCATTCCCCATGCGTGTAATTGCTGCAGAGTAAACCTGGGTGGTCAGAAAGGGATCCCTTGAGAGTTGGTGGCAGGAGCAGTGATTCTGTAACAGGACTGAAGTGCTTGGATGTTGGGTGTGTTTTGTGTCCTTTATAGGTGCACAGGTCAAATAGCTGCCTCAAAGTTCTGACGGGAAAAAGTGTTAGGCTACTGTTGTTTTCTGACAGGAAAATAGTTAAGTGAAAACAAGAGTTAGCTGAGATTAATGTAATTTCTAAATGTGTTTTGATTATGTTTATTTGAAAGTGGAGGGTAAAAATTACTTGTTTTTTTGCTGTTGGAATTGTTTAGTCTTTTCTAGGACAAAAAAGAAGAGAAAGGGGATGAGAAAGGTGAAAGAGGAAAACACTTTCATGCTTATAGAAATCTGTTTAGTTTTAGCATAAGGCACTGAAGCTAGAAGGCAGTATCACTTGAAGTTGTTTGATGGGTTTGGGTGTTTTTTTGTTGGCTTGGCTTGTTTTATCTTTTTTCAAATTACTAATTTAAAACAGTCCAGTTCTGATTCTAAATTACTTTGGTAATTTTTCAGTCTTAAAAGACATCTTATAAGGGAAGTTGTTACTTTGGGCTGTTCTAATGTGTTTTGGATTTTGCTTATGTATAACTATTGTTTTGTAATATAAAAACATGCCACAGGGGATGCTTCTGAGTTTGGCAAAGGATTTAGTGATTCAGCTCATGTCAGGTGTAGTTGAGAAAGTAAGATTATTCAGGTGTTACCTCAGTTGCTTGAAACTGGTTTCCTTAGGGTAGAAGATACCCTAAGGGAAAAAAAAATGCAAGGCTGGTGACAAGCTAACATTTTTGTTCTCACTTCTGTTTTCTATAATCCTGTTCTTGTTCAGCAGTGGGTGGATGTTTATCATGGATTTGACACGTGTAGACCAGTCTTTGATTGTCAAATAATTTGGTGATGACAGGCTAATAACTTACCCATACAGGGAAACCTTTTTTAAAAGGGCAAAATATAACTAACTTTGTTCTGCTCCTCTTAAGGTGGATTCTGTCACCCTCTTCAGAAGAGTTGATTTCTTTAGATTAATTTCCTTTTCACACAGCACAAGCTGTACTAGAAAGGCTCTTCTGTATTGCAATAAGAATATCTCCATCCAGAGTTTCTACTGATATAAAAAAATATGTCTTTAAATTTATGCCTTAGATCACGAGGGGAAACAGTGTGATTTCTTAGGGTAGAGAAGATCTGATTTTATGGTATGACAGAATTTAGGAACATGAACAGATTAGGCGAGACATGTTTCCAGTGCTTGAAACTGGAATCTCAGAGGTCTGAATTCTGTTTCTGGTTTTGCTCCATGTCTGTAGGAAAATCATCTGCCTAGGACTAACAATACTTGGCCACCTTGTGGTGTTTGGGATGTGTTATGGGGAGTTGGATACAGGAGTAAAAGGTGAAGTGTCATTACTATACATATAGTGTACTATGGAGCATCATTATGTAGACATGGTAAGGAATATGAATATGCTGAGTAGAAGCTGGCCTTTGTATTAAAACTCTCACTGCTAGGAATCCTAGAGCAAAGAGACCGACATAGAAGAGATGGCCCCAACATGGGATGTTTGAGGAACAGGTATGGCATGTTGTGTGAAAGAACACAGAAGACAGTCTCCTCTACAGAGCTTGCCTTGGAGCTCTTAAAGCTCTGGTCTGATCCAAACCTCACTGCAGCAAATTTCCCCACCATCCTCATTGTATTGGGATACTGTTTGGGCACATCCCCCAGAAACGTTAGCATAAAGAGTGTATCAGAAAACAAAGTTGATTGTTGCTATTTGCTCAGATCATGAATGGACAACTTCTTTGCCTGAATGGGTCAAAGATGCATGACCATCTCTGATTCAGTCTGCTTTCACTGACCAGCATAAGGAAATTGCTATCTGGCTAGAGAAAAAAGTTAAGGCTCTCATCCCTCCTTTGATATACTCTGTGCTTGCAAACAGAGTCCAACAAAAACATTGTAGCTGAAATCTTTGCATGTGAAGTCACCTTAGTTTCCTAAGATCAGCGTATAATATCAGGGGAGGGTTATGTTTATGCTTGTGAATGGCATTTTTATTTCAGATAAACTTTATGTGCGTGAAGGTTATCTTTTATTATCTTATCCACCTTATGCTGTGTACTTGCTAATGACAATTGTCGTGGGTCATCAAGTGTATGCTCTATTTTGGGCATCTGCTAACTGTGGCTGCTGGGCAAAAGCCAGCGAGAGAGGTCTGCAGAAGTAATGAGAGTGGAAGGCAGTGTAAGATAACGTGATGTGATAGACATGGGAAACAGCAGCACATCAGAGGTATGACTGGATGGTCTGAACACTTTGGAAGAGCTTTGTGTTAGGTCTTCAAAAACAGGGCTGTAGGTTGACTTGGATGCTTGAACGGTTCCTTGGCATTGAGGGTAAGCTTGCTGGCTTGACCTTTGCAGAACAAGGGTATAAGTTAAAAGATCAGCAAAAGGGATGAGAATTTTCTGGTCATTTTTGAGATGATATTGCATGAATTCTACGCATCTGCAAAGGTATCTATGTTCTTTGGAGGATGCTGGGAAATGAGTATACCTGTCAATCACATCAAGTGGCTAAGTTCCCACAGGCATTTTGGGTGAGTTCCCCATTCTCAAAGCAATGTCTTTAACTTGCTCTTCTGAATGACAAACACTCTCTCTCTCTTAGAACAATGGTTTTCTTTTAGGTGTGTTTGCATTAATGTTATTTTTAGCCACGTACCTTGGATTCTGATGAAGGGAGTAGTCAGCTTGAGGGCTTTACAGTCTTTGGGCAAGTCTCAGCAGTATCTCTTAATATGTGGGCATTTTCCCATACTTGACTTTTGTATGTGCTCAGAGCTTAATCTTGCAATTCAGGATGAGCAAAAGGTTTGGGGTTTTCATCAAGGCTTGGCTTTGTCCTTTGTTTGCATTTTCTGAAGCCTGGGTGTTGAACTAGGTTTTGCACCAACACTTCAGAAAAACCTGCTCTGAACAATTGTGAGCAACTTTATATACACTTAGTATGGAGCCAATAGCTCAGAGATGTCCTCATTCTTGTAAATGCTCCTAAAGCATTTATTGGCTCTAGTTTCAAGCCTTGAGCAATATTGGTCAATAAGCTTTCTCTGAGATTACGAAAGGTTGCTTGAGGAATACATTAATTTCCTTACAAAGCAGAATTTAGCGTTGTTTATTTTCATTGAGAGGAAAAAGAGACATTTTTGTCCCAAGTGTGAATGTGGCTTTGGGAAGGGAATTAATGAGCGAAGTAGCAGAACAGTTCATCTGGGTTCATCTTGAAAAACTCTGAAAATATAGGCAAAGTAAGGATCAGCCAAAAAATGTCTGAGAAAGTACAGGAGTGGAAAGTGGAAGTGAAAAAAGGCAAAAACCAACCAACCCCACATTGTAACGCGTCTAGTCCAGGCTCACCAATGAAGTGCTGATTTCTGCAGTATACTTTAATAACACTGTAGTCAGTGTCACAACCTGTGTGGTTTCTGTCATTTGCCTTGGGTACTTAGTGCATAAGAGAGATCATTGCTGGAGCACAGTTACATAGGAAGGCGTGGGAGGCAAATTGTCTCTGTTGCAGAGTTTTGAAACTGGGTTTTTAACAGATTTGGTAATGAAAATGCAGTAGGCCCAGCCTTTAAAAGAGCTGTTGCTTCTGCAGTGGAGACCTCCAGCAAGGCTGCTACTGAGGGCATGAAAGCTATTATTGCCAGGGGTACCTTGCACCTCCCTCTCCTCCATGAGGTGAAAATAAAGCAGTCGAATAATTTATGTCCTAATGTGTAGGTTTTGCCAATGTCAGCCAAAAAATATATGTAGAAGAGCTAAGAGACTATTCCTGTTCCTTTGAAGCAATAGAAGGAGCTTATTTGGAAAGAAATTGGATTGATACTCAACATGACCCCCATGGGCTTGAAGCCAATGGTTTATAAAAAGGGAGACAAGCAGGGTGCATGTTGTCAAGTTGATAGATTTTTACAGATTTTTGCTGCTTAAGGTATAGGCTTTTGTTAGGGAAAAATCTTTAAAAATATGTGAATTTCAACTTGACAGGAATGCTACAATTGCCCTTTGGTACTTTGTCCTATTTTATAAAAAGTCTGTGGATTTATCAAAATAGCTGGATCTTCTTGCAACACTGAATTGAGTACATTTCTAAAGGATCAACACAGAGCTTTGTCTTCTTGTGAAATAAGCTTCGCAGTGTGCCACAGTCAGGTAGGCAGCTATTTAAAAACATGTAGGAGCTGTATAGAAGTATAGAACCTGGAAGTCCCCAGTGCACCTGAAGCAAGCAGCATCTGGGGTTCATAAGGAAACACACATTACATTGAGAAGTACCAGTGTGCTGCTGATGTCTAGATATGTGTGAGAATAAGTGCACGGCTCAATGTAGATAGATTTTATTGTGATGCTAGAGGCCTTACAGCTACTTTACGTGTTCTGATCCAAGTAGTGGATGTTGTTTGTGCCAACAATTGTGTTCAGGAAACAAATTTCAAAGTTATGCAGAGTAATGCATGCGACAAATGCTGCTCATGGTTTTCTCATTTGAAATGTCTAGGGTGTGATGAAAGATGCTGTGCTGAAAACTCTGTAGATGGAATCACAATGCCTTTTTGCAGCAGTAGTTCAGATTTCCATTGGCTGTCCTGCCTACGTGCTCCAGAAACGCTGCCCGACATGAGACAAAGGAAGCTCTTGCCTTCTGGTCTCCTTGGTTTGAGATCTTCCTGCTGACACTCTAATGAAGCAGCCTGTAATGATGATTCTCATGCTTGCTCTCTTCAGTGTAGTGTGGATGCTTTATTGTCATGAGTTTGTCAAATTGTTAATCAGTTGCTTTACATCCGACACATTTATGTTTCAAAGTGTGTTCTGTGCTTCTGGTTCAGTATGTGCTCAGGTACTTCAGTGAGGGGCAAGAACTCTCTTCACTTCACCTTCGCATAGGTGGTTGCCTCTTTCTTTCTAGACTGCTAAATTAATTCTTTTTATTGATCAATGGTAACTTTGGCCATGAACGAGCAGCAGTGGATTATACCAGAAGTGTTTTACCCATTCTTTCCTATTAGAAGATTGTAATTAATGTAATTTTTCCTTAATATTGCAGTTGCACCATCTTCGTGCATCAATGAAAAGTCCAAATATGGCTTTGTTCAAGCAACAGAAGGTGGAAGATGTTTACGAAATTGGGGAAGAGCTGGGAAGGTAAGTTTGTATTGACGACGTCACACTATTCTAAAAGCTGACACATGGAGATATTTGCCACATCCTACAACAGTGACTCTGCAGGATAGCCTAAATCAGTTGCAATATACAACAACAGAAACACATCCCTTTACAGAAACTGCACTTTGCATTTTTATTTTTTTTTAAGTTAAGTGTGCAACAATTTTTCCTGTTTCTTTCCTTGCAACTATGACAACAAAAGGTATGTTTACATTGTCTTTTGTAGATAGGTGTCAGCTGTGTCTGTGCTTTAGACTGAGCTCACCTGTCCGTTCTCAGAACCAGCTGGGGAACAGGAACCCACAGTGCCCTCATCGTAGACACAGCCCTTTAATTTGCCTTGCTGTTTTGAGCAGCGCTGCACTTTCAAATGGCTCTGACAGAACACATTCATATCTGCCTGTAAAACACTGTGTATGTGTTCCTGAAAAGATTTACCTGTCAAAATTTCAGCTGGACTGGTTAATGCTTGTATATAGCTTTTAATCTGTAAAAGCTTATCTGCAGGTATTAATTATAGGTGGAGTTAATGGGCTGTTACCATGCTCAACCATAAGCAGCTGCTTAAATGCTGCTGGGATTGTGAGCTGGACGACACAAGACTCCGCCAGTGACTTAGCAACATACAGTGCTCTCAGTGAGGATTGCTGGTTTCCATTCAGTGTCCAACCCTCCAGTGATTTTTCTTTTTAATATGCAAATAGCTAAATTAGGGCTGTACATGTGTTGGCTTCTTTCCCAATGTCTGGCAGTTGGTTTTGATAAATGACTGTGTATGTGCAATTACCCTTTTTCAAGGGCCAATAATTTAGTTACATTAAAACACTTCAGTTGAAGTTGTTTCCCTGCCAAATCTTATCTTTTTCACTCGCAGCTGTTTCATCTTTAGAGTTCTTGAGAAGATTTCTCTCAAGGGGAGATGTTTTTAGGGGTTTGGTTTGGTTGGGATTTTTTCATTCCCTTCTCTTTCAGGAAGGCCTCAACTATTAAATTTTCTGTAACTGCTTACTTTTCAGTATTGTCTGGTCCTGAGAATATCAGCCTGAAAGTGAAAATCTGACAAGAGTGAGCAGTAAAGAAATTTAGTATGTGTTCAGGGTGTAAAAAGTGTGCTTTTTTTAACCTAGGAGACTATAGTATTTACTGTAACAGTCAAACTTCTAAAATAAGAAACTGAAAACTTAGTAGTATAATTTTACGTTGGTTCCTGAGTTGGATTTGGAAATTTAGTGTCTTTTGACATGATGTACCTCACTCTCCTCTTCAAGCTGATGATGGTTATTAGGCCTTTTGAATGGAGAAGTGTAGTTGAAACAACCTTATAAAGGCTGGCCCGTGCTGTTTTATCTGCCTGAGAGGCCTCAGTCTGGTAAAGGCTTGCGTGGTCCCAGCAGCACGGGGGGGACCTCCCCCTTTCCTGGCTGCGTGTCCCAGGAACAGGGCTGGCCCCAGGACTATGCTATGGAACTGGGGCTCACTACATGGGGGGTGATGGGCTGGGGTTAGAGGAGAGTACACTCGGATATGGAATCTGAAATTGTGGCCTTTTTTAATTCTCTGCAAGGAAGACCTTTTCTAGATAAGCCAGAAGAAGGAGTGTGTACACGAGGAGGTGCCATCCCTGCATGATGGAGGGATATTGCACTCTACTACAAAACCATGTTCTAGTTCCCAGCGTTTTACGTGTAATACTTCTAGTAATTGAGAAATGCAAGTCTACTTGGTACTCGGGTCTGTAGGCAAAAATGTTCCCTGCAAGACCTGAAGGAAACAGACAAATTGTAACAAACAGACCTCTGCTGCTTGTTACAATTTTTCTAGGAAAGCTCTATAATTGTAAATTGTGAGAAAAGGGCAGCAAGATTGGAATGGGCTCCCTCACTCCGAATGCCTCCGAGTTGTATGCTTTACACATGCCCATGAATATACTGTCCCACTGTCTTTGTCAGTGTATTTTCACTTTCAGATTTTGCAAGGAGCTCTGCAAACCTCTTGTTTCAACTGTGTGCTGTATGTGGAGTGTCACTGGGTTATCATGCCTCTGTATCTCTGAGCAGTAACTACTGATTAGGGCCAGTAACAAACGATATCTGGCTTTGTTAGAAGAAAAATAACACACTTGACAGGTTGTGGCGACTGAAACACAAGAATCTTTTTCAAAGGTGACTGATAAAGGTGACTTGGAACCTGCAGGTGCGTTGATTAGTTCAGTATGTTTGCAACAAGCTGTTAGTTGCTGACAGGTACATGCAGGTAAAAAGATTCATTTATTGTCTATTCTGGCAACAAAAGTCACTTACAAACCAAAGGTTTTCAAACAGTGTCTGTGATGTGTCTGTCCTGTTCATGTCCTCCTAGCTGAGTTTGTGATTTCTTGAGAACAAAAGTAGTCATTAATGCAGGCCTAATGCTTGTTCTAGCTTGGATTGTCAGAGGTTAAAATACAGGATCTCACTGACAGAGACAGCACCTGTTTATCTGAAAGTCTGTGCACAGCATTAGGAAAGGAGGCTTCTATTATATACTGCAAATGCTCCTTTGCAAGGCTTAGATATATGTGGTCTGGTGATGAAATTAGACCCTTCCTGTCATCGTGCAGCATTGAAGGTACCTGCAGCAAAGGCTCTTCAGATCCAGCTGTATAAAACCCTGCAAACGGCACATTTATGGATTCCTCAACCAGATCATTCTCAAAATTGCTGCTCAGCTAGAAGCAACTCAAAGTATGCTGGAAATAATGTTGTCCCCTGTGCCAAGGCAACGGTGTGAGAGAAAAGTCTTTGCAGAAAGGGGGAGCAGGTTTTCCATAGCTGCAGCTGTGTGCTGTAACTAGTTGTCTTGCTCCAACATCCCCTCAAATCTTTTAAATATTAATCTTAGGTTTGCACCTCTGTTGCTCAACTTCTCCAAAGGGTACATGGCAGGGAACAAGAAGTCAGGTGTGTGGTATTAGAGAAAAGAAGCTGCTGATGGGTTTGTTAGTTCTGGCAGCTAAACTTGGGAAGCTTAGCATGGCCTATGCTGAATGAGGGCAATAGTTTATTATCATATATGTATATTTAAAGTTACTTCCTGCAAGATAACATCGGTCGGTTTGTAAGTGTGAAGTCTGTGGGGACTGAGGTTCTCTAGTGATAGTTGAAAGGGAGCCTAAAAAGAGGAGGAGCCTTTACAGTGAATTTAGCAAATTTCAACATTTTAAAATAAAAAAAAAAAACCCTTTTGAGATCTACAGTGCATCTTATGGCTACATTACTGAAATACTAACTTTTTTTTTGTTTTTCAAAATTTATGATGAGAAATGGGAGAGTTTAGAAAAACTAACTGAAGATGAATACATTATAGGGATATTTATTTTAAAAGTCCTCAGTTACATTAATTTAGTCTGGAAGTCTAGAAGAACTGGAAAGCAGTGTGATATAAAGTAACTGGTGCCTGCAGAGGCATTAGAAGATCCTCTTCTCTTCCTCCTTCCCCAAGGGCAGTAGATTGTGTGATTTGGGAGTACTTCCTACAGCCTTCCCAGGCATTTAATGCTATCACTCTTTGAAAGGATCAGACTTTCTGGCAGATTCAGTTTCTTTCTGTGTCTGAGTTGTTGATCGAAACTAGAAAATTCAAAAAACTAATTTCCACAGAACATTTTCAAAATGTATCCCTGCTCTAGTGAGTTTATGTTCGCTAAATGTCACTTTTATTCAAGTAATGGTAAACTGCATCCTTTACCATTGATTTTAATGGACTCGGTAAGAAACCTATTAACAGTTTTGCCTGTTTCGAGGAGGATCCCTGGGCATAAGCCATTCGCAGGAGTGTTTGTAGCAGATCACTCTAATGGCATGCCAAAGTAATGGAAATGTTTCTTGAAAAGTATGAGGGAGTGGAGGCTAACTTCTTGGGAATATGCAGCAGGTCAAATAACCACTGGTTCTTGTGGGAAAGGAGCTGGCAGCGAGAGAGAACCAAGAATGGGAACTCTTAAATTGAGGCCAAAGCAGGCCAAGAGAAGGAGGAACTGGCCTGCTGAGCTAGTGCTATAGTTCTCAGTAAAATGGAAGCAGTGAAGCTGGCCAGAGAGCCTTTTAATTAAATGTTTGAGGACTTGTGATTTGAGTGGGTACCTCTGTCTGTCTGGACAAAAGGAGTAATTGCACAAACCTGCAGGAGCCTTTTCTGGCTGTAGTAGCAAACACTGACAGTGGTGGTAGGTGCACAGAGAGTGCTAGAATTTCTGAGATGTGCAGTGTAATTCATAAAAGGTTGTACCATGGAGTCATTAATCTGTTACCTAAATGTGTTGCTAGCCAGGCTGTAGGGAGCTGTTGACATTTGTGCCTCCTGGGCAGTGTCACTGTTACATGTCAAGTCAGGGCTGAGGGTAGGAAGTGTCACGGAGCTTATCTGGAAGTGTTTCATGGCAGTGCCCATTGAGAAAGCGTGTTCCTGCAGGAATGGCCTGCAGTGTCCCCAGGCTGTCCTGCTCACTGCAGCTCAGCTCCCTGCTACGTACAAGGAGGTCGATCATGCTTAACAGAGACAAACCTTGGAGTGATATTTCTGGGTAAGGAAGTCTGCCCCTTTCCTTCACTAGTGTCCTTTCACTGCAGGGAAGGGGCTCTGCCATCCTCTACCTGCCACTCCAGTTTCTTGCCTGTCTCAGTAATTGGGAGCTATGCTCATCTCTAGCCTCTCCTTTCTCCAGCTTTTCTCTGGCTTCGCCGTGTTTGCTGGAGAGGTAGGATGCAAGATGCATATTCTGATGAACTGATCTCCATAGGAAATCAGAACTATTACTTTCAGCATGCACGAGAAACAGGAAAAGCTTTTTGTTCACTTGCTAGTTTGAAATCCTCTCCGTTGGGAAATACAGATGGTTTGTTGCAGCATGGTGGCCTCTGAGGAAGGCAGCTGGGCATGTCTTTAAAACTGTAGGAGCTTTTATTCTGACAAGAAAAACAAGCGGGGCTTGCTGAAGTTGT